GGAAGGGGGGGCGGGGGGCGGCGCGCGCGCGCCCCGCCGGCAGCCGCTCGCCCCGCTCGCTCGGCGGAGTGAACTTTGACACGAACTGCTGCAACTTGGCGCACGTCGCCATGGCGACCGCTCGCCTTATAAGGGGGCTGAGCGGCGGCGCCTGAGTGGCCCGGGCGCGCGCGCGCCGCCCCTCGGCGCTCATTGGGCCGCGCACGCCCGGGCGCGCGGCCTGCTCAATGGCCGCCGCCGCCCGCGCGGTCCTGGAGGCCGCGCCGCCCCGCGCGCTGAGGCGGCGGGGGGGGGCGCCACCCCCGTCCCCCTGCCCCGCCGCCGCCTCCGCGCCGCTCCCTGCCGCTTCCCCGCGTTATTTCCTCTCATTTAAAAAAAATTCTTCTGGCCCTTCCCGCCCCAAACTCAGCGTTGTTCGGGGGGAGAGGGGGGGCTCACCTGAGCGACCGTTGGGGGCGACCGTTAGGGGCGACCGTTAGGGGCTGCCGCGGCCTGGCCGTGCCCCGCGCCTCAGCCGAGCCCCGGTGCCGCCCGTCACCTCCCGCCGCCGCCCTCCGGCCCCCGGCTCGCGCTACGCGGCGCTTCGCCCTTCAACTTTCTTCCCCCGCTGCCCCGAGCCGCGGCGCGCGGCCCCGCTCGCGGCCACCTCGGCCGGGGCAGGTGAAGGGGGCAGCGCGCAGCGCCGCTCCGCCGGCCCCCGCGCCCCTCCGCCGCCCGGAGCGCAGCCGTGACCCCGGCAGGTGCGCGGARACGGGCAAAGGCGCAGCGGAAAAATAAGCGCCCGCGCTTGACACGGGGCTGCTCGTGAGCGCGGGACGAGCCGCGGCTGCGCCTTCCACCCCCCGAAAAGGGCAGAAAATAACCTTTCCCCTCGCCCTTTCAACCAGCACCGGGAGGGACGGGGGCACAGGGCTCTCTCTGTCTTAGGCGGTCTTTTTTTTTTTTTTTTTTTTTTTTTTTAATATTAATATTTCAAAAAAGAAACCCAGGGCACGCGAAGGGGGAATCAAAGCGCAGCGGAGCTGCGGGTCGCTCCTGATGTTGAGTTTCCTGGGGGGCCGACAAAAAGGAAAAAAAAAAAAAAAAGGAAGAAAAAAACAGCTTTCTTGCCTCAAATCTGACAACGTAAACAGCACCCGTCCGCCGTATGGAAAGCCCGATCACCTTGCCCACAAACGCCGAAAGCAGGGGAGAAAGCGCTTTGGACACTACCTGCGATATTGGTAGTTTGTACCTTGCTGGTACAAATTAAAAGCCACTGATACACGCTAAAAAGCCACCGAATTCGCTGGCTGTCGAGCATTAATGAAGAGTTCCCCACAATAACTATTTGCTCCGCGAGGGACGCAGCTAGACAACTACTCATTAATACCATGAGCTTGTCTATTTATTTCAAAACACGAGTAGGTCGAGGCAAAGCAGGTGAAGGCAAAAATACTGCTAAGAAGAAGGGAACTAGAGCTAAATTTCACTTCGCGGTATCTGAACTCGCCACGAAGTGGGAGACGCTCCCGTGTCCTTGCCCGAGCCCGGCCCCCGTGGCACCGCTCCGCTTCCAAAGCCAGGCTGCCCGGAGAGCGAAACGCATCCCTCCTGCCATTTTACTGCACATGGAAATTTATTTTAATGAGAGGGAGTGCAAGGCTTTATTTTGCTAAAATAGAGTTTGGGGTAGAGCCGGTGTAAATCTTTAGGATTAACAAAAAAAAATGAGAGGAAGGAAAAGGAAGCTGCTTTCCTGGCAGAAAGCAGCCTAACAGCCCCCTAATTCTTCCTAGATTAAATCGCAATATGAATACAGCATCGAACAAATACCGAGTTTCGCTCTGAACTCAGTGGAAAGCAGTTACGTCTAACAGAATTCAATGAATTCCTCTTCTCCCTCAATGTAGTATGTGTGTGTTTTTCTCTTCCACCACACTGAAGTTCCATGAATAGGGAAAGTGGCTCCTATTGTGTGCCTCTGAACTTCCAAGTCAATGCAATTTTTAACCACTGGCTTGTGGTACTTTGAAAATCACCAGGGGCTGTCAGAGTTGGGTCCTCTGAAAAATTTACAGTGCTAAATCAGAGCATATGCTGGGAGAGAGGGAAGAAAAAAATTGCTTAAGATTGGAGCAAGTACAGTATCTGTCTGCCCCCTAGTGTAAGTCTCTTATCTGCCTAAAATTCAACTTTAAAAGAAAAGGATCTCTTAAAGGGAAACGACTTTTGGCTCACGTATGCATTCGAGAATGAAACTTCTGTACATTTTAATCTGATTAATTCCTAAGGATTTAAAATTAATTGGCTCGGGCACTGCTAGACCGGACTGTAAGATTTCTGCAGCGGGCTTTCCTCGAGCCCTGTGCCGAATAGGTATTTTTAAAGAACAGCGGTAAGAGAGAAGGGGGGATCCTTTTCTGTGATTTTTTTACATAAAATGAGGACCCGCGCCTCGCATGCTGCTACCAGAGCAAAACACTTCTTTTAAAAATTATTACTATTGCCGCTGAAACTCCGACCGACGCCTCTCGCAATAACAATATTAATCCCGCTAATGGCAATGATAATCATAAAAGGATAAGCAATTGCCTCGGAGCCGGAGTGCCAACCCCACCTCCGCAGGGTGAGTATATTCCAGCTTCTCTCCATTGTACTCGCTTAGCCGCGGAAGGGAGCGCAGGGAAGAGGGACAAGGTGGGGGGACAGGCACACACAAGGTGGGAGGGGAGGGGGTCTCGGCGCGATCTCTTCCCCACCGACCCCCCTATTTTTTTTTT